AAGAAGCCCGGTCAGGATGTTAAGGATAGTTTTTAACAGTGGCTGACTGAACACTGCAAGAAAAGCAACAGAGGTGGATTTCCCTTTCATTCAGGGAGTGATTTGCACCAAAACTCTGCCCCTGGGATTTCACCATGTGCTGCTGATGTTCTCAGTCCCAGTAATAGCTGTAGCAGTGCTAGCTTTAGTCCTTCAGTCTTTGGGTTTTCATACCCTTTGGTATCTCTTTGCAGACTGAGAGGCATCAAGCTTGTCCTCTCCACTCTTCACTGTCAGATCCGTCTCAGTGGCACTTCAGGGATGCAAAAAGGACATGTTTGTGTTGTGTGTGCTGTGGATGTGAAAGAATGTCTAAACCCAGCATTCAAACTGTGGAAAAACTGCGGAATCAGTAAATACAGAACAGGAACTGAGAAAAATTTATGTCCAGCTGTTTCCCTGCTGCAGCTCGGAGGAAGAACCTGAAAGGTTTTAACTTGCCTCCAGGTTAGTGTGGGTTTTGTGATTCTGGGAGAGCTTTGCTGCTGCAATTGCTAGCATGACTTGTTCAAATATTTCAAGTTCCCACCTCCTCTTACTCATGACATGGAAAAACACTTGAAATCTATCTAATCGAATGCTCACCAGCAGGCATATCCCACGGGCAGCCGAGATGGGTCTGATGGAAACCACAATTGTTAACAGCTTTAGCTCAGCTCCTGCAGCCTGGCACACCATCCTGCCGAAGCCCCACTGGCCACCACGCTGTCCCCCGGGGGATGCAGGGTCTGGCCAGGCAGCACAGCTCACTGACAATCCCAGGATTCCTTCGGGAAAACACGCACCGAGGGGCTGCTCTGGTGTGGGAACAAACCGTCGGGTTCTGCTGGAAAGAAAACAAAGAGCGGGGGATAATGCTCCCCCTGCCCTGCCCGTGCAGCGCTGCCCTTCTCAGCCAACCTTTCTTGCTGATTTACAGATCTTCCTGTACAGCGAAACAGGATTTACAGGAGTGACACGGGGATGTGGGAGGGAAATGGTTTGGATGTTCAGGTTCGGTACCTCCGGCAGAGCTGAGGCAGGGGGTCAGGGGGGTAGAAGGGAGCGTGTAGGAGCTGCATCACTCTGCCTGCTGGTCACTGCCTGCCTCACCAAACGTCCCGTTCTTTGGGTGATTCCAAGGAGCGCAGCCCCGGGCAGCGGGGGAAGGGACAATCGCTGCGGTTCTGTAGCGTGGGGCACGGGGAGGAGCTCGGCAGCGGTGTCTGCTCTGTCTGCGATGCCAGCTTTCGAAGCAGTTCTGCTCCGTCTTCTTTTAGGCGGTGATGATGCCCTCAGGTTCCGATGGGAGCCACACCAAGAGCCTTGGGGTGGCAGAGCCCCTCGGGCATCTCCGCAGAGCGCTTTGGCTCAGCTGAGGTTATTGCTGGCAGAAGGGTCCCCAAGCCCCTCTCCTTTTGCGGAACAAGCAGCCCTGACCCTCCTGTGTTTAGAATCTCCCTCCAAGCCCGATACCCACGTTGTTCTGCCCAGAGCCAGGAGAGGGTGCTGTTAAATTTGGCAATCGTTCCGTTCTCCCCCGGAGCCGCCACATGCTGCCCTTCCCTGCTGCCCTCCCCTGTTTGTTCCCCCAGCCCTGCCAATCGGCTGCTTTTTAACTCCTGGCTGCAATGGATTTGCGCTTTGATCAGCCAAGATTTAATAGCCCTGATGAAAAGCATCTTTCACCTAATTACAGTCAAGCCCCTAAACTTGGAGGGATCAGACTCGAGGCCGCAGCTGCCGAGCACTTGTGGGGCAGCCCAGTAAAGTCACCCAGATCCTGGGGGTAAAGGATGCCCCGGAGCATTAAATTATTAATTTAATTAAATTAATTTAATTTAATCCAGATGCAAATGCTACCCAATTTAAAACAAGCCTGAATTTTCGGCAAAATATAAGCACCTTCCAATCTGTTATCCAAACCTGAACACTCAAGTATTTTTCTCTCCCTCCCTCACTCTGATTTTCAAACCCTCCTTCTCCCCATCAGTGGGTTGCCAAGTGCAATGGAAGAAACGCAGCAGGAACAAAGAAACTGGGGATGAAGAAGGTACAAGGAGCATCTTTCACTGCTCAGGTGGCTTTCTGCAGGTTGTTCAGACAAGGGCTTGCTCAGAGCTGAGCCCCACTGTGCCATCCCATCTTCCAGGAGGAAAACACGCACTAGGACAGGCTGTGGACAACTGTGCTCACAGGGGCTGAAAGCAGAAAACGGGATAACTATGGGGAGATGGAGCAATCTTGGCCCAAACCGCATCCAAAACATAAACCAGCTGTCAGCACACTGATACGGTGTATCTGTAGAGTTTTTTAATTTTTTTTTTTTAGCTGAGAAACACAAATCAAGGTAAAGTTCAAGGCATGCAATCAGGCACTAGACTTCTCTTGCTTGTTTTTTTTTTTTTTTTGTGCTCATACCTTCAGTGTAAGTTCCACGAAGACGAGTAGATCCTATCTTTAATCTCTACATAAAGCAACTGAGCACCCACTTACAGCCCGAGGTTCTATGCAATGTTTACAGTTGTTCCTGGAAAGCAGGATTTGCTTGTAGGGAAACAGTTCTTTTTCTTTCTGTGGATTTTGCTCTAATGCCATGTAGAGCAAATGTCATCTGTTTCCCAAAGTAAGTCTGACCAGTGACAAAAATCAACAGAAGTAAAATAACTTTCTCCACGTAGATACATGTTGCAATTACAGATATCTGTTTGCATGGTTTAAATTTGATTTCTACTGAGAAACGCAGATAATCTAATGAATAGGAAAAGGTCTTTGATTTCTGTACCTTGCAAGTCCACTTCTTGGTGTTCTAAAGAAAAATTAAACAAAACCAGATACCATAAACAAGGCAGCCAGTGGGGCAATCCACTTTTTACCTCTGAGGTAAAAGAGCAATTCAAAGATTAAGAATTTTGTGGATTTAGGCACATTAGATTATTTCAATAGCTGTTATGATTCTAAACATCACAGGTATTGAGATGCTGCTAAAAACACATTTCTATCTGAGTAACTCTTGCCTGGTAGTTTAAAGCACCTTGGTGTCTACTCATATGGGGCACTTGCTCTTAACAAGTACCTGGTAGGCAGCACATTGCCAAGGAAAATGTTTATAAGCAGCTACAGACAAATATTTTCTCCCCTTAATGCCCTGCCTTTGTTCATACAGCTCCTGGTTTTATTCTGTATTTTTATTTTAAAAAACGTGATAGTCAAAGACTCTTCTCCCTTGCTCATGCATTTTTAAAATCAATGTGATTAAAGATGGATCTGCTGTGCATCCATGTGATGAATGTGGTGGGAGCTCACTCTGCATTTTCCCCATGAGGGTCCCCACGCTGAAGTTTTCAGTCTCACTAAGACTCCTGCAGGAAATGCTGGGAGGAGACAAACCCCAACTCCTGAACTGTTAAACTGCTCACTGCCAAGGAATTAAATGCTATCAGAAGTTCCACCCTCTGCTGTAGCAGGCATTAAGAGATTGTCATTATAGTGGGTCTGCAGAAGAGGTAATCCTGAGATTACAAAGAGTTGGCAAGTCCAGAACTGGATGGTCCCATTTCCTTGGACCCCTCAGAACAAAAGAAAAAAAGAAAAAAGCTTCATGCATGTGTTTAACTCGTCCCTATTCAATAAAACACTGAAATACAGCTTAAACATGAGGTCAAACACCACAGAAAGTGCCTGAAGTAACATGACTTCACCATCAAACCTTCTGAGAGTGTGAAAGGAAAAGTAACTCAGTGCATGAGAATGACACCTTTACAACAAGCACAGGGGGGCACCGACCCCTCCTTTGATTTTCTGAACAAGAGCAGGGCATGGAGCTCTGGGGGAAGAATCAGGACTTCCACTCCCACATCCAACTAGTGAAAAGCCCATGGAAACAGCTTTCCCTGTACATCACCTGAAAGAGTGGCTCAGAGTTAAAGAGAAATAATCAGGTCTAGAAAGCGAGTTTGCATCCTCAGTCAGGGCAGCCCAGATTTAGTTCAGAACATGGATAGTGACAGTAACAATTCAAACATATCTGGCCTTTCTGACAAAAAAAGAAGTATAAAATGCTCAGAAGCCAACTGAGCACTGAGATTAGCCAGCACACATAAGCAGAAGTTCAAGACAAAGCAGCGCAGAAAACGAAAAAGTAAATAATGAAAGAACGTGAAACAGCTAAACTACAAACTGAGAGGCTTGTAAATAGAGCGAGTAGTTAATACATTTACCCAGCTTAAACTGCAACTCAGTAACACTGCAGTGAATTAATTAAAAAAAAATATTTGAACACGTGAAAAACTGTATGGCAAGATGTGCTTTGCAGCTCTGACACATTCCCAGGACAACATGGGAGCTCATTGAGAGTGTCTTCCTTCACCCTCCCTGACATTTCATCTCTCATGGCATCAGGCAGAAATAAATTCCCCTTCCTCTCCAGCTTGGTGTGAGAATGGCTGAACCCCACTGCCTGTTCCACTGCAGCTCTCCAAAGCCACAATGAGGAAAATAAAAAAAAAAACCAAACTGAAATCCTTTTCTGGAGCAAACAAAATAAGGCAGGGTGACTTCAGTGGGGAGATTTTAGTAAAACAAAACCAGATTTGGTTTGCTGGTCCTTTGCCAAAGTGCTCTTGCTGCAAAGAGCAGGATTGTCCTGGAGACCTGGGAGAGAGCAGATGCTTCCCAGTGGCACTGATGTTACACTGACACTCAGGACATGCCCCAGCCAAGCTTTGCTGACATCACTGTGCCCTAGTGGGTGTTCCCTGTCGTGTTTCCCCATGGCAGTCAGAAGCTCTTCAGAGATTCTGTCTATTTTAGGGCTTCTGTTCCCAAGGGAATAAAGATTATTCCACCTTCTGAAGAAAGTGATTGTCTACTGCAAGAAAAAAAAAGGGGGGGGGGGGAATTTAGGAAATACAGAAATTAAAATCACAAGTTGAGGGTATTTTGGTTGAACAGTGAAGGTAAAGCAAAACAGGTATCACCTTGAGAGAACGAAGTTACACAGGAAGGGGTTGGATTCTACTGAGCTTAAACCTGGAAGATGCTGTCCCTTCGTGATTAGATTTGCTCTGAATGACTCATCCCCAGAGCAATGTGAAATGCACTCCTCAGGAGCTTCTCCCAGCACTTCAGGATGCAAAAGCCAGTCACAAACAAAAATGGCAAGGCAAAAAATAAAAAACAACAACCATCCCATCTCCCATTTCTCATCATCGTGGTGACAAAAGGGAAGACAAGAACTGAAAGCATTTTACCCTGTGAAATATTGGCAATTCATGCTGTGGAGGAACACCTCAGCCTTTTATCAAGGAAACAGTCCAGGGGTGCTTAGTTAATAGCTATCATGCAAAAAAACAATTAGTCATTCAAGCAATCAAGAAGGTAAGTAGCTCCTAAAAAGGTTTGGAGCTCCCCAAGCCCTAAATGCAACTGCTCTAAACTGAGATTGTTCCTGAGTGTGGTGTGATGACTGGGTTGCCTCTCCCGAGGAGATCCACTGCATCATGTGTTGTAAATTCTCGATGCTCTTTTAGCTGCAGTCTGAGCCTCTGGGGGATTCTCCTCCTGCTCCTCACTCTTCTTGTGGTTTAGGAATATGTCAGACTTCAGGAAGCGGCTGTAGCTGTCGTACTTCATGAGGTTGAATATCTGGGAAGAGAGGGGGGAAGAACACAAACCCAGTGACCCAAGGCAAGCAGGATTTTGAATGAGAAGGGCAGTATCAGTTCCAGTGTATTTTTGTTCTGCCTGTACTAAGGCATCGCTGAAAAGGCAAGGCACTGAAAATACACACGTTCCAAGTCTCCAAGGGGCTGCAGAGCACTGGATAATTGAGGCAAACCTCTAAATAATTTACACAAATACTGAAACTTCAAACTGAGTCCAGGCTGAAACAACCGGTCTAACTGAGGTTTCTTAAACTTCTGCCAATATTCCCATCCTTTTTGGACTACAACATCAAGACTGGTGTCAGGCCAGATCAGAAACGTTGCAGGTACCTTCCCCAAAGAGCTGATCTGGTGCAGGTGTAGTTTACCAGATAAAAACGTGGTTTTACACTGGTGATGGACTAAAGCAGTGCCATTATGCCTCACACCAGGCCAAGAGCTGCCCTTCCTCTCGTGGCCAGCACTCAGCCAGCATGGAAGCATGAGCTCAGCACCAAGTGTGGCTTTTCCCTCCCAGGAATCGAGTTCAGGCTCGTCCCTCAACAGCACTTCTGCTCTTCTATTTATATCCACCACACACAACAAAGCTACAACTCCTTTGGAGTTTTCTGGAAACACAAAGGCTTGGGAGAGGAGTCTGGAAACTGTTCAGGTGTCAAGGTCAGGATATATATTTAAGCTGCTCTTGCAACAGAGGGGAAGAAAAAAAAAGTAAACCTCAGAACTATAACTGAGGCAAAACCAAAGCCAAGATCAGCCTCAGCCTGTTATTTCACTGGAGCCTCTCTGAGTCATGTTTCAGGACTGATTACATTTTATGGTACTCAGAGTAACTCAATTTCCAAGACAAATTTCTGCATTCTGACCCGCATGTGTGGCTAATCCATGTCTGGGTAACTGCAGCTTTACCTTTACAGTCTCCCTTCTAATTGAGAGGTAACACAACTGTTTGCTAGGAGGAGGAAAACAACCTTAAACTGCTTTTTCATCTCACATCCTCGAGGAACCTGGACAGATAAAGGCAAACACCCAAAACCTGACTGTTCTTGTCTGTGTGTTTGCTGAAATAGCTCCCTTACAAGCAAATTACATGGTGGATTTTACCAACCACTGCTCATTTGCATATTTAAATATTTAAGTTCGTGTTTAAAACTGTGGAAATACTGATTTAGAAGCTACATTTTGGAACATGAAAAATCCCAAAGCACCCATTCCATGCAGACCCCAATCAATGCAGACCCCAATCAATGCAGACCCCAATCAGTGCAGACCCCAATAAATGCAGACCCCAATAAATGCAGACCCCAATCAGTGCAGACCCCAATCAGTGCAGACCCCAATCAATGCAGACCCCAATCAGTGCAGACCCCAATCAGTGCAGACCCCAATCAGTGCAGTTCAGCAAAGCCAAGCCAAATTACACCTCCTGCCATTGGCTGACTACAATGTCATTAAATTTATCCAAGCAGCTCAAGGGAAAAAAGATATCAAGGAAAATGCTGCCCGCTAAAACATCATGTGAGTGTTAAGAACTCAAACCCCTCTTGTTCCTGCTATCACTTCAAGCATCTCCCAGAGAGAAGGAGCACTGTGAGATCAGTGTCTTCCCCAGCCTGGCCAGCCAAGTGCACAGAGCAGACAGATTTTATGATGGTGTGCAAAAGCAGAACCCTCTTTTCCCCCTCCCCTCCTCTCACTGCCTTTGTGCAGCAGCAACATTTGCCCTTGAAGTATTTTTAAACACACACATTCCCATGAACCTCTCCACCACCACTTCAGTCAGCACCAACAACTGCCCCCAAGCCCTTGGTTTAGGGCCAGCCTGTGAGCACAAACCCACGGCCCACCAGCAGCACCAGTTAAACCAGTAGGTCTCTGGAGAACCCAAGTGCTGGAGAACAGGCTGGGGCTTTCCAGCTCTGCCTTTTTACCCTTCAGACACACAGCACCAGCAGCAGTTAACAGTGTGCTCTTTAGAGAACAAATTACGCCACTCTTCGTAGCTTTATAAGGATTGAAAACTAGAGAAGACCATAACTCTTGTGAACTATTATCTAACAGCAATAAACAGTAGCTTCAAGCAGTGGAATCCTGCAGTGACCCATAAATGTTCTGCATTTGTCTGTAAAAGCTCACAGAGTCTCTTCCCACACTAGTGGGATTCCTCTACCACTGGACCAGCATGTTTCCAGTTCAGGTATTACTAATCCTTGGCTGTTATTTGTAAAACTGCAGAATATTTTGTCTCCAGTAGTCCCTCCAGCTTCACCCTCGCAATCACCCACCCTGAACTGCAGTGCTTACATGTACCAGAACATTTCTTTCCCTTTGCCCCCAAGTCAGAAGTTTTTTCCATGAGAAACTCTTCTTCTTCCTCACATGGAAATTGAATTTCAGACATTTCCACTGCTAATGACTTGGAACCTCTGCTTGAAAGACAGCAGAGCCTTTGCCTCTCAACTCCTTCAACTGACCCAGCCAGTCCCAGCTAAAATATTCAATCCCTGGCTGAAATGGGTTGAAAACACTATTTAAGTCCCTGTGCTGTTTCTCCACAAAAGGAACGAGCCAAATGGAAAATGCAGGTAGTCCTGAGGATGGTGCAGGAATTAAAAATAGTACTGCAAGTGCTAGAAAGCTGCAGATAAGAATGACTCACTTCATAACTTCAGCTTTAAAATCAGCTAGATATCAGGAAAATTCACCGCCCAAAGACATGCCTGCAAGATGTCACCTCATTTCTACCAGACCTCCCAAGTTCTCTGGGAGAAGGCAAAGCAGGTACTGGCTTCTCCGAGCTGCAGAAGAGGAGGGGTTTTCAGAAAACTGTGTTATGCTCCTATCAATACAAGTACCAAAACAGAGCAAAATGAAAACTCTTGGGCTCTCAAGGAAACCAGTGGCAACCCTGGAAACAAACATCAGCAATGACTCAGCACAAGAGAACACACAGGAAAACCAAGGACCGAGTTACTCAGCAGGGGGGAGTCTCAAACTACTCACACAGGAACCCGGGAGAAAACTTCACCCAGTTTTCCAGGGGTGTCCTGAACTGGAATTAGAATGGCTGCATGGAGTGTCCTGATTAAGTGGCTGTAGATGGGGCCCAGAGCCTGTGGTACCTCAGGGCAGCTGCATTTATCATCCCCACCGTGGCAGCAACCCCGCTCTCTGCTCACTCATGGCACAGGCAGCAGCAGCACATCCCCAGCTTCCCTGCAATAACCTGTGCTCAGAGAGCAAAGGGCATTAAAACCAGACAAAAACTAGTGAAACTGGGTTACTGAACAAAAGAACTTTACCTGGTCCTGGAGCTTCTGGAACATGAGGGGGTGAGGGGTCTCCAAGATGGTCTCGCTCAAACGGGACTGCCCTTCAACGTTGACTTGGGAGGAGGCTTTACTGGACAGGAAAGTCATGTAAATCTCTTTTGCCTTTTCTTGCATCTGCAAAAGGACACAATTATTTAAAGCATTATTACTTGATGTGTAGATAATCTCTGTACTGCATAATGTTTTGTTGGAGACAGACCCAGGTCACTTCCCGAGGTTCACATCCTAAAATTAAAACATATTCTGAATTAAAAAAAAAGATAACAAAACACATAGATAAGCTTACCTGTGTGTGTTCATTTGTGCTGGAAGAAAAACATCTCTGCAGGTAAACACCTGTACTGACAGCAGGGGAAGCTACCAGTAGTGAGCACTTTGGTTACAGCAAGATGTGGTGGTTGAAGCTGAGCAACCAGAGTGAAATTGCTCAGCACCATTGACTAGTACTTGTCCTCACTACTCAGAAGGACTATTTTTGCTAACAGATCATCAGTATGTGCAAGGAACCCAGAGGAGAAACACTGTGGAAGCTGACTGCAAGGCAAACCCGGGCAAGGGTAGGATGTAATCTGTGCTACTGGTAGATAACCCTGTCATACTGCAGGCTCTGTCTTTACAACCTCAGAGCAGCTCACCTGCAACGCTGACTGCATGAGCAAAGGAAACACCAACAACTCGACTCAATGGTGAAGACAGAACTCCCAACAGCCTCTGAGAGCTGATGGATAAGGGTAGGTGGGACTTGTGTAAAGCTCCACACCAGCCCCAGCTAAAGGGCTGTGTCTGGGATGGGAAGGGGGCTTGGAGAGGGAAGCATTTAAACCCTTGCCCATGAAGGAGCCACAGAATTTCTTTCATGTTTTACAGCCGAGATACATTTACATTTGGGGGTAATTAGAAGAAAAAGCTGCATGTGTTGGAGAACTGAGGAGGCTGAAAGAGTTAACTCTCTCGCTGCTGAAGGGGACACATATTTTCCAGTATTTCTAAAACAGATTATTCATCTGATGGGTAGAACATAACACATCAGGTGCATTAGGTCACAATGAACTGTGCTGGGCACTGCAGAGAGAGAGCAGAGAAAGGCTGGAGAGGAAACCCAAAACCAGAAGTAACTGTGAGGAAGTTTAGACAGCGAGGAGGGGAACAAGAGGACTGCGTGGGAGGCTGGGGAAACAGGGAGGCTCTCTGGATTTTGGGAGGAAGAACAACAGAGAAAGGAAGTGAAAGAGCTGTGGCAGGGAGAGGGGGCCACTGGAGAGACACGGGGGACCTGACTTTATAGGGATGGGAAAAGGTGGAAATGCACAGCTAAACCCTGCAGGCTCAGCTGCAAAGAGCAGGGCTGTGCCCCATCTGTGCTTCAGCATCAGTGGGACTACAGTTTATGGTTTGTTTGAAAGAGAAAGCACAGTTAAAGGTGCCAGTGTGTTTATGCACAGGTTCAGGTGCAGGACACAGGGTTGGTCCCCCTTCAGTCAGTCAGTGGCATCCCTTGTTCTCAGCAGCCTGAAGACGATGCCCCAGCACAGGGGACTCTGCTCTGGAACTGAAACAAGGCTTAAATTGGTATCTTGTTCACAGGTGGTTGTTAGAGGGTTTTTGGCACTCCTCACTCCCATCTGTGTGCTCTCCCCAGCAGCCCTGCCAAATTCCCCTTTGGAGCACAAAGTTCTGTCTGCACCAACCCCCCCCCCCTCGCTGTTTCAAGTGGATACGAGATTATTTCCCACTTCCTTTCCGAAGGTCAAACTCAGCTCTCAGGCATGTGTGGCTCCCAGATGAGGTGGATGGAAGCCCCAGATGCTGCTCAGAGCAGGCTCCAGCCGTCAGCAGCTGTGCAGCATTACCCAGCCCTGCTAAACCCTCCCTGCATCCCACGTGGGAAGGGACAGCAGGAACTCCTGAATATGTAATTCTGTTCTGAAATCCTTCTCTGCAAAACTTCCACGGGGGATATTGTGGTGGGTTTTAGCAAGAGCTGACAATATTCCCCGTTGCTGTCAGCATTTATTACAATCTGTAATTTGTTTTAAAAGCTCGGCTGCAAGAGCAGAAACACCGAAACCCCGGGAAGCAGCACGAATGACATGACATGCTGTTTGCTTCATTAACAGTCCCAAATGCAACAACATATGAGTAACTCCAATAAAACACTTAAAGTTCGGTGTTATTCACTGATCCCCACCACTCCCATCTCAATAATTGAATCTGTGCCCTGAGATGAGGGCCATATGGGTGGCAGAAGAGCTCACTAAAGGTCATTAAATTCCCACCCCTGCAGGGACAGGGGACACCTTTCCCTCCATGAGGCTGCTCAGAGTTCCACCCAGCAAGTGTTTCCAAGGACAGGGCATCAACCACCCCTCTGGGCAACACATTCCAGTGTCTCACCATCCCCACAGCAAAGAATTTCTTCCTTGTATCCAACCTAACCCTCCCCTCTTTCACTATAAAGCCATTCCTCTTGTGCTGTCCCTCCAGGCCCTTGCCCAAAGTCCCTCTCCAGCTCTCCTGGAGCCCCTTTAGTTACCAGAAGGGGCTCTAAGATCTCCCTGGAGCTTTTTCCAGGCTGAACAACCCCAGCTCTGGGTGTGATTCCACAGCAGAGGTGCTCCAGCCCTGATTTCTAGAAGAGTTGCTTTCAGAAGACAAATTCATGCTCCATGCTATCATAAACACTGGAAATATTTCTATTTTCAGTGCTTTTCCCAGCTTTGTAAATTATCTAAACAAAGGCATCCACAAGCAGTAGCTATAAAACCTCACTGTAAGTCCGTGTCATTCTAAAGCACATTTATTGCAGCCAGTTATGATGGTTTGAGCAGGACTGGGTGATGATTAGTACTGAATAATTAATCCAAACAGAACCTAGTTCAGTCTCTGTCCATTCATCTGGCAATACATTCAAGGATTCACTAAGCTCTTATCTCTGTACATCACTTTACCATTTCCTGTGCTGGGATGTGCAAGCCTGAAATAGCTAAAACTATGGAAATTATTTAGCAAGGGAAAACACAATTATTACCCCACTGCAAGGCATGGGATCTTGCAGAGAAGTAGCCTGGCTGGTGGTTCTTTCCTGAAGCCTGTCTGCATTTGTGGGCCTTTCATGAGGGAGGGCAGCAGCTCCATCCACCAAGCTGAGACCGTGCTGAAGGTTACAAAGTGCTCAGTCAAACTGAGCATTTTCCTCTTCTTGCAAAATATATTGTTTTGGGGGGTCCTGCAGATTTATCAATACCAAAAAAATATTCACAACTAAAGCAAGCAAACCCTTTGGAGGGGAATGCTTTTTCAGTGCAAAACAAGGAATATTTACAGGAAGCGAATACCCTCTTACACCTGCCTGTCTTAACACCCCTGGTCCAGTTCTCCCACCTGATTCCTATTCCTTGGCATTTCTGATGTTACTCAGAGCACAAACTGTCCTGTTTGGAGCATGCTGAAGTGGCATTTCCCAGTCTCACCTCCTCACACTACATACTTCGGCCAGGAGAGTGTGAATTTGTACCTGTTGCCTTCCAAAATGTTCCTCTCAAAGGCCAAAAAAATCTGAAATTTCTCAAGAAAATAACAAAAGTAAAAAAAACAACAACAACAACAAAAAACCCCACCACATTTCTGGTGGATCTAAATGTAAACTGAGATCTAAGCAGTGGAAAAAAACTTACTGGAGGTGGCTGCTTAAAAAATTTCCAGTAGAGTATTTGCTACTAGAAAGATTTCATGAAAATGAAAATTGTCTGCAGGTATATAACGATTTGGATAACATATTTAAATAATAATAATAAAAAAAGTTTAAACAGACCCTCAATTTTATTTGTTTTGCAACTTTGTAATTTGATAAGGCAAAATGTTACAGTTTGGTACTGGAAAATAGTTTTTGTTTGTGCTGTGTGTTGTTCTTGTGTTTCACTAAAGAATCACAGTGGTGTTTCTTGCCATGCAATAACTGCTATGCTTTAAAAAAGTCCTGAATGAAATGTCTTTATGTTTGCAAGCAAGATGATGATTCAACATCACTGAATTAATAAACCTTCTGCCATTCCCAAGCAATGACAAAGAGTTCCGAGGTTTCAAACCACGGGGAACCCGACAATTTCAGCATTTTGTTTGGATTTGCTTCGTTTCCAAACAATTCCACCCCGATTTTAGAGCAGTTTCTTCGAGTACATTTGTTTGCATTCGCACAGGGCACGTTACACAACAGGGACGGTTCAGCTCCAGCTCTGCTGAGTAAACTTTGCTGACAACTAAAACTCAGTCAGGGCACAATACCTGTTTTTTTCCCTGTGTCTTCTTGAATTCTTCACATGCAAGCCAGAACAAAACGTTTTCTTCGCTGAATTCCTTCTTTAAAAATTCCTAGGAAAGAGGAAAACAAACACTCAAAGGTTAGAATTCCATTTCTCAGTCGTTTTTCTCTCTTCCTGCTGCAGAAATTAAAACCAGCAGGTTCCAATAAAGGGAACTTCACCTGCAGTTTCCACAGCCCGGTGCAGCAGAAGCTCTGCACTGGTGCATCTGCACACCCCAGCACCCAGGGCAGCACCAGACACTTGGGAAGCACATTCCAGGAGGATAATGGGCTGCCCTGGATCCCTGAGCTCACCAGGAACTAGCAGGAATGGTTTCTGCAGCCTCCCTTAAATAACTCCAGCCCTTTCACAGCCACTGCTCCAAGGGAAGGCCAGAAATAGGGGGGGTGTAATGAACTGTTTTAATGAGAGTCACAGATCACCTGAGAGGCTCATTTAGCATCTTCCTGATTTTTATAATGAGTAAAATCTCTGCAAACAAAAGTGTTTCTAAACATGATCATCGGTGGCAATAAATCCACTACAGAGAACGAGAGCAGGGGATGCATCTGCATTCTGCACAGTGGTTAAACACAGCACACTGCTCCAAAAGTGAGGAATGCTTCAAAAGGGGGAAAATGTGCATTAAATTTATTTATGAAACATAGTGGCTGAAACATTTATGGCTCCAAGATCATCAGTTTTCTCTCCTGAATGTTAGAAAACAGAAATCAAGTAATGCCGAGAATTAAATAGCATCAAGATTACCTTTTTTTTTTTTTTTTTTTTTTTTAACAATTCAAAATCAGTGGTTTGTAACTCTAATTTACATCACTCGTTAAACCAGTCTGTCAGGACACCATTTTATCCCAGAGCATTTTATCAGTATGGTATGGCAAAAGCACTTTTAAGTAAGTGGCTCCTATTGTTACATCTAACACGGCAAAAAACCCTGAGAAACCAACTCACCACCCTCACCTAATTAAACCTCAAGCCATTTTGAGCTGCACCAGCCCACACTGGGTAGTAAAGTGAAAGGGAATATTGTCAGGACAGCTGCTAAACACAGGATAAGAGTCACCAGAGACTGGCAGGGGTAACTCTTTGCTGAATGTGCGAGAATAAAGGGCCCAGGATGAGTCCTCAGTGATAAATAACGCTTGGCAGGAGACAACAGTGGCTCAAGGGCTGCAGTTTGTCCAACAGTCACTTGTCAAGAGCAGACAGATCCCATCAGAAAGGTGCAGCCAGAAGCCCTGCACGTGCCTTGCAGGAGGGAGCTGCAGTGGCAGAAGGTGCTGCCCCAGGGGCACCAACTCCCAATCTGCCACCCCTGCTCGGGGGACAGACCTAGGAGGAGCCACCTCTCCGTGCTTACAGCCTGGCACAGCTGCACCCTTTAGTGCTGAGACTGGAGCAGCTTTACATCCTAATTCTGTTCTACAGAAACACCCAGAGTTAATAAAGCAACCCGAAATCTCTTCACTCCTTCGGGGTCCTCCAGGAGGTTCTCCAGCGACGTGGCCCATTTGGAGGTTCCTTTCAAGGTTTGGTGGCTGCTGCTGGGGTGACCCTCGCTGTCATTGATCTCTGGAATTAAAAAAAAAACAAAAAACAAACAGAATTGAAAGAAACGCCGCCTTCTTTAGAAATGACAAATGGCAGTGGCGTGGGTGTCTCCCACATTGCCCCTGCACCCTTGGATTTCAGCTGCTGTCTGTAAAGAAACACCATAAAACTGAAGATAAACACACAAACAATCACTTGAATTCTGCTCTCCCTGCAAGGAGGCAAAGATTCCTTCCAGCAGATAATTCATGAGCAGGTAAAGAGGCACTGGCACTGTTTTATAGGGGGTCAAGCACCTTTTGCCTGTGGAACACAGCAATGACCACAGTCTGTGTCCTGAAAGGATCATCTGCTTTTTTTCTGGCACTGCCTACGGCGTGGGCTCCTGGAAAGCAATTCCTGGTCAGTCACACATGGCAAATTTACTTTTAAGAAAAGAATCGTCACTGGAGGCTGGAGGGTGGGTAAAAGCAAAGAGAGAGAAACACAGTGCTTTGTTTAGCAGGAGGAGCAGCCCAAGATGTTAACCCAGAGTAACTGGGAGGACAGACAGCTGGCAGCAGAGCCTCCCTGCAGCTGAGTCAGCCTGGTTTGGGGCAAGGGGGGTGGTTTTTCTCTTTGTTTGTTGCCAAATCCGCAGAAATTCTCCTTTTATAAGGTGCACTGGGCTGTGCCCACACCTGCTCTGCCAGCAGCCTCCTCCCAGGTAGGAGAGATGGCACACAGGTGGTGTTTTCCCTAGCCCAGGACAAGTGCGTTGCATTCAAGGCTGGTGCTGGAAAAAAAATTTCTTTTTGCCATCTACCCTTTGAGAAACCTATTGCTTGGAGGGACTCCAGGGATTTGCTCATCTGAAAAACTCTAAAACAGACATCAAGTGCTTGGCCTTCCCTCCTCTCACACACGAAAGGCCCTGGGAAGACAGGAGGGCAGGCCATGGGAAGTCAGGATAGGAGCTCCATTTCAGGTCACTGCACACTGGAGAGGTGCACAGAACTCTTCCTGTAACCAATACAGCCTCTGTTTATTTTAATAACTCCCCTCATCCCACCCGAGCACCTTTCTGGAAATATGGATCACAGCAACTCCTGCTTAAGCTCTGTTTAAAAGCCCTTCTTCCACCATGAAACTAAACTTCAGCAAGTATCTCAAAAAACCATCTCTGCAGAGCTGTCCTATCAGATGCCCTTTTGAGCTGGTGACTGGAATAAATGCTCAGGTTAAAGCCCTGCACAAAACTGGCACCACAGCAGAGCCTCTGGGACCTGCCTGTTCTCCTAAAAGTGAGAAGGAGCACTGTCCTAAATGAATGAGCAGCCCTTTCCCTGGAGAGGAGTGGGGTTTGTGCATGAGAAACAGTGTGTGAGCTGAAGGGCAGCAGCCACAGCCAGGGGGTTGTCTCCAAGCCACTCCTGCAGATGTGACACCAGCACAGCCAGTCAACGCTGCCTCAGTTTGACCCCCCCCCTCGTGCAAAAGGATGTGGTTCTCGATTATCACTCGCAGCATTTATTTTAGGAGCCTGACTCAAAGTATCTGGGCTTCTAATCTCAGCCAAATGGGTGAGATTTAAGTGGGAATGGCCAAGTACATTGGAGCAGAACACAGTGACCTCTGAGCAGCTGGAACCTCTTGGTACAGCCTCATCACCTGCAAGCAGAAGGGTAGCTCTGTGTGTAAAGCTGCCCATGGCCTGAAGAACCAGGCCCTTCCCTTATTTAATACATCGTTTAGCCCAGAACACAGGGAAATGAGATTTCATTTCCAGTGTTCCTGTTCCAGCCAAATCTTCCAGTGGACATTAATGATTACTTTGAAAAGCATGGATTTCAATGAGCCAGTGCACCACAGGGCAGAGCCAGGGCCCTGAGAACCTAAAAAAAAAAATAAATTCTGGTGAACAGAGGCCAGAACAAGTGCTCCATATACCCAGGATACACTCCTTCTGATCTCCTTCTCCTCAGCTGCTTTCACTGGTCTCTCATTTTACTGGCTGTTCTGCATCCTCTCTGATCACCATTCTCACTTCCAGCCTACCCTTCACAACCCAACCCTATCCCCTGTGTTTACATTCCCCTCCTGCTCCTCCTTGCCAACCTCCAAACTCTTCTCTCCCTAATGATCCTGCTGCTTTTCCCTGCTCCCTCCCAGGATCCCGCTCCCCTTCTCTCTCCCTTCCCTCCTCCCACAGCATTCATAGAAACACCATTTGGTTTTGAAGGGAAAACCTCCACAGCTTCTTCCCAGTGTCCACTCTGCAGTGCCCTGGGCAGGGCTCTCTTACTCCACTTGTTTCCTCCCTTAACAAGCTCCCCACAGCCCAGACAGTGCTGTGGTGCCAAGATGAGGCTTTGTCTGCCCATTGCCACCCCTCTGTTTACCCCTTGCCTCCCTTGTTGTTATTGAAGCTGGGAGCTCCCCAGAGCTGTGGATGCACCAGCATAAACGGGTGACCCATGACAGGAGGAAGCACCCTGGCATTTTATGAGGGTATTTTTATTGTACCCCATTAAATAAGACATCACCAACATATATTCTAAAACAATAGGCCTCACCCCCAGTTAGGATCATAACTTCCCACTCCACATGCTGGTTTCATTCAGCACATTTGGGGTGTGATTTCTAGACTTTTAAATTTGAAGAGTTCAAAAGACAGGAAAGAGGTTTTTTCCCCCACAAATGACTCCAGAAGCTGATCCCCAAATCCATCTCCCCTAACACATTACTAAATTACCTTAGAAATGATACTTCCACTGAGGTACAAATTAATGAGTCCAAAATGATTTATTTGAAAAGGCAAGGCAGCAATAACTGTAGTTACACGAATGATTCTCCTGAAACATATTCAACTCTGATATCTATAAAGAGAACTTTCTCCTGTTAAAATCCTCTGCTGACAGAGTTAGGTAATATATGCTTGGAAATAACAAGCTTGATCCCAACGTTTAACAGCATATATACATTTGTGTGATCATCTAAGTGAGGAAGGCAGCAGACATTTGCTGACACTGAAAACTGGGAGATAATTTTGTGCATCTAAAATGACAAAATGGCAGTGCTTCCACCGGTATTTCTGTCAAGGTAACGCACAGGATGTACAGCAGATGATAAATACACTCCCTGCGTTTCTTGCATTGCAACTGTAAGAAATTACAATATGCTAATCACATTTCACGGCAGAGCTGGCTTTTATCGGGGTCAGGGACCAAGAGGCAGAGAGAGCCAGCAAAGCACACACAGCAGGGCACAGTCGTGAGAGTTTCTGTTGAAACAAACCCTCCAGCGAGTCGAAAATGCGCTTCAGAGGCACAACTGCTCTCATGACGTGCAGGGAGCAGCCAGCTGCTTCCACCAGCACAGCAGATGATGGAGTGCTTGGTTTTAACATCAGACTTCAGAGGGCTCCACACTGAGCCAGCAAACAGGCAGTTACATTAGCTGCAGCATTATTTCACAGGGGGCTCTTACAGGAGCTGCCCTCCCATCACACAATAGCCCTGCAGCCCCAGACTGCCGAGAAAGGCTCTTTGTGTGAGAAGGGTAAGTGCAGCACTAATAACGCTGCAATTATCAGCTGAAGAGTGCCATCGAAAACGGCAAATGTTTGCATTCTCCAATCAGGAACTCGGACTGAAACCACAGAAAGTGTCAGCAACATCCACATGTACAACGTTGCAGGTCAAAACTCCCAGCTCTGGGCCTTGTTTTTGACCAAAAATAAAGAAATAAAACCTGTGGCAACCCATCAAACCGTGAGTGATTCATTCACGGCTAATTGAGTTAGACATGCTGATCCCTCTGCCTTCCAGAGGCACTGCAACCGTTCCCCCGAGCTGCTGCCACCCTCCAGCTGTCAATACCCTGGCCCATATCAGGCAGCACAGACTCACACCCTTCACAGAACTCCACATCCCTTCCTAAATGCCCCCTGCACACACCCTGTGCAAACTCCCCGACAAATAAACGGCGCACGAACAGTCCCAATGACAAAAGCCCCCACGTAAACAGCACGCTCCTCATTCTGTATTCGAGCATTAACAGAAAACAAGAAAAGCCACCTCAATTTCTCCTGGAAGAACTTCCGACCACACCTGCCCTTATTCACCTGGATCACAAAATCTGCGAGCCGTGAACCTTTATTATTATTTCCAAAGTACTCTGAATACCTTGCCTTTTCCTGTGCTCATCAGAGTGCCTGTCCAGCAACAACCACCAGTCCAGAATTAATAAATCCAAGGTACGAAACAGCGGGAAACTTCACGAGTAAGCAGCTGAAAGGGGGAAATTCCCTTACTTTCCATGCAGCCAAGCATCACCAGATGAATCCTCGCACAACAATTTTTTCCAAGCAGCAGCTGAGGTTCAAACCTTTTCCTCACAGCACAGCTGCCCTTTGCACGCTTTGGTTGTTCAGAGCAGGAGCCTCAACATCCCCTTTTGACTGTCTCCAGCAACAGATGGCTCCTGGACTCCACTTTTAACTATAAGGAAGGAAGCTAAAGGGACGTTCCGCTTTTGTAGCATCTCTGGAAGCGTTCACCAGACAGATATCCTTAAAAAAACAACCAAAGAGCCCCCAAAAAAACTCCAACCCAAATCAAGTCTAGACAAACACCACATCTGGCTTTTCTTAGAAAGATTGCAACTTCTTCCTGCACATAACAAACTGTAGTATCATTTTCTAGGGTTCGGAGATTGCTACTTTTGCCCCAGTTGTTTCAGCACTGACAGATATCAGATCCCACCTCCTCGGAATCGCCAGACTCGCAGCATCGCGGACACACAGCAACAAACACGCTACAGCGCCCGTCTGCTCAGGGAACTGGGAAGTCCCACATTGTCACTCCTTGGTAACTTCCACTCCAGCTTAAGACGCTCCCTCCAAAGGCAAACTCCTCAAAGTCCGATTCACAGCCCGACTAACCATGCCCTGGCGCCCCGGGCTGTCACCTCGCCCCCGGTAAGAGCAGCCCGCAGGAGCTGGGCACCGAAACGCGGCTGATGAGGCAGGAGCTGGGCACCGAAACGCGGCTGATGAGGCAGGAGCCCCGGGCAGAGCCCCACTCCCCGTTCGGGACCGCTCCGCTCCCGGCACGGTCACCCCGGGCATCCCAGGCAGCGGCACCGCAGCTCCCCGGACCGAGGGGCCGAGGGGCAGCCCCGGTCCTGCCCGCAGCTCCCCGGACCGAGGGGCCGAGGGGCAGCCCCGGTCCCGCCCGCAGCTCCCCGGACCGAGGGGCAGCCCCGGTCCCGCCCGCAGCTCCCGGGGCCGGGGGGCAGCGGCGCGGCCCGGGCAGCCCCCGAGAGCCCCTGGGTCCCCTCGGCGGAGCTGGAGCCCCCAACCCCCCCGGCCCCGTTACCTGAGGGCGGTCGCTTCCTGCTGAGCCGGCTCACGGCCCGGTTGAACATCCCGGGCGCCGCTCGGGCCGCGCTGCCCGAGCCCCGGGGCGGCCGCGCCTCCCCCGCCCCGCCCGGCCCGGCCCGGCCCGCCCCGCTCTGCCCCGCTCCCCCCGCACGGGGCGGCCCCGCACCTGCCCCGCCTGGGAACGGCGGCTCCCGCGGCACCCCGGGGCTCGGGCACCACCGAACGCGACGCGGGGACACCGGGGGTTCACCCCCTGGCCGGGGGAGAGCGGCACATCCCCCTTGCCCTGCGCTGCGGGGCCCCCCTGTCCCAGCCATCCCCACTTGCGCCCCTCTTCCACACCACGCTGTTATGTCAGCTCGCCCAGATCCAGCTCATCCCTCCCCGCTCCTTCCCCCTGCTCCTCCGCGTACCCCTGGAACAGCTATGCCCCCCTGCCTTGAGCCACCAGCCCCCCTCGTGTCTTCGCCGAGCAGGTGCGAGAAACAAAAAACCTCCCCCAGCACGGCCACCTCGGTGAAATCGTGAGCTTTCTCACCAAAATAGACGTGCCAAGCCTTTTGTGCTGGGGTGACTCATTTGCTCTTCCAAGGCTTGGAAGAAAAATTCTTTCCTAACAGAAAAGCACATTTACAATTTTAACAACGGTATTTTCACTTTCAGAAATATCTTTTGTACCAAAACATTTGACCAAAAATCCAGCACGTGAGAAGTTTGTGCAATTCTGACAACAAAGTGGCAAGCCATCAAACAGACAATCAACTCAGGAAGCACAAGGCAACAGTAGTAGGAGGCAATGGGAGTGTTTAAGTCCCACTGGAAGCATCACCGATACACAGAAACCACAGAAACCACTGTTAGCAGACAAGTCAACACTTGTTTTATCTCCACCTAAGCCAAATCCCATCCTGAACACACAGTAATGCATTGCTAACCAGCTCCATCCGCAGAGGGAACTTGGATGGGCTCCCATCCCACTGAAATGTATGGTTATTTTCCACTTACACACACAGGGCCAAGATCTCATTCCTGGGAAATGGTGACACCAGGAGACTCAACACAAGAATCAACTGCATCTGTGCTTCCAAAACAAACAGCAGCACAATACCTTCCAGCTGAAGGGATTTGGCCTGAGCATCCCTGGACTCCTGCCTTCAGCACCAGGGCCAAAAGCTGCGTTAGCTGGTAAAGATTTCTTGGCTTTTGGTGTGGACTAAAAAAAAAAAAATTTAAAAAAAAAAAAAAATAAATAAAAAAAGAAGAAGTCTGCAGCTTTGCCGAGGGAACAGCACAACAGCTGCACACGGCATTTCCCAGCAGATGTGTGAGGCAGGCACGACACTGGGAATGCAGCTGCAAATTCCGTGCAAGCACCAGAGGAGCAGGGGGTAACAGCACGGCAGCAGGGCCAGCTGAGGAACAGGGACAGCAACACGGGAGAGGAACACACAGGGTGGCAGTTCTGGGACAAGACAGCCTGGCCATGAACTCCCAACCATTTTTTTTTAGTCAGATCCACCAGTGCCAGGTATTTCAGGCAGCCCGTTTACACCAAAGCAGTACAAACATCACCAGATTTTATTTCTTTATTTTTTTGTTAAGAACCAGGTCACAGATCCCAAAGTTTCTATTTTAAGGGTTAAGAACTAGTGCTCCTAGGACAACCACCTCCTCCTCAAGCCAGTGTATTGACAACAGGCAACTGGAGTAGTTTTAAAACTTAGTATCATGGATTTGGAGGTGGGAATACGTAAGGAATATGACTTAAGGAGGCCAGCATTGTGCCCGTGCTCCACGTGCCTGTGCTGGTGTCTCCAAGAAACCCCCCAGAGCCCATCCCTCTGTCCATGCATCTCCTGGGAAACCTGACCCACGGGTTTGCCACAAACCAACCTGTTAACAAATCCACAGTTTCTGTTCCTTTCCTCCTCCGGATACAACACTTCGTTTCCAAGACTCCTTTCCACCCCTTTTCCTTGTAAATGAGCACATGGGGGCCACTCCTGCAGAGGGGACTCCCAGGCGGGCACAGCAGTGCCTGCTCTGCCAGGTCACGCTCCTGATGCTGTTCCATGTCCTGCTCTCCTGGTCGAGGTTCGGTGCTCCATCAGACAGAATGGCACGAGGGGATTTTCCTTCCAGATGAATTTGGTGGAGTTACTCAAATGCAGTTCCTTTGCTGGGGGGTTTTTGCCCCTTCTCCCCCAAATCACCTGCAATACCCACACACAACCACGTGCAATTTACGGCTTAATTCACCCTGTGCTGGTGTCCACATACCACATCGATAGGTTTTTACACCTTGCATGAATTTTTACCATCTTTTCCTTAATTTCACAGGGCAAAGCTTCCCTTATAAAAAAAAGAAAAAAAAAAACAACCATAAATGTGTTTCATTTGCTTTGGCTGCAGCCAGGCCAGGCCATCTAGAACAGATGATGTTCTCTGAGTACTTACCAAGTCACTGCACTTCCACCCAAAGAACTGTGCACCACTAAAAATTAAATGTATGTTAAAGCAGCCAAGCTCCCTTAGAACTGAACAGGAAAGCATTTGCGAGCCTTCCATGCCTTGCTCCATCCCATAACTCCAGGACTTGTTAGCACAGTGTGTTCACCACTCCAGACACTGGAAGGTTTGACAACTGGGATAAAGTTCAGCAGATTTCCCAGTGCCACTGGCAATAACAGGTGTGTGGGGAGGAATGAGAATGTGCAAGACACCCAAAAAGGCAGAAACACGCCTGACAGTGGGATTTCAGACAAAGATTCTATTTTAAAATGTGACTTGTATTCTGTAGAATAATTTAGCTTAAATTTAAATAGCTGGATTTGAAAAGAAATGGAAGGAGTTGTACTTAGCTGTTGCCACTGCAAGAAGAAAAAAAAAATCTATTCTGGAACATACTGAACTATGAATAACACCACAGAAAACTCATAAAATGCACAGCTCATTTCACTGCCCAATTGCAAATAAAAGACTCCAAACTAATCAACAGACTTAGGAAAAAAAACACAACTCACGATTTAAAGCTCTGGTTTCATTTACACCAACTTAACACAACTGATTTCAGCAAAGGTGGCACTTATTTACACGATTATGAGAACTTGAAATTGGAAATGTTAACAATGAGGAGAGGTCTCCAAAGCAGGAAAACTCTCATTTCTCTGGAAAAAAAACAAAACCAAAAAACAAAACCAAACAAATGCAAAACAAAAACCAAACAAAAAAAAAAAAAAAAAAAAAAAAAAAAAAAAAAAAAAAAAAAAAAAAAAAAAAAAAAAAAAAAAAAAAAAAAAAAAAAAAAAAAAAAAAAAAAAAAAAAAAAAAAAAAAAAAAAAAAAAAAAAAAAAAAAAAAAAACCAAACCAAAAAAAACCCAAAACAAAACCCCAGCCCTTCAAAACCTGATTTTAGACTTGCCAAGTTTATTTTCCTATTCTACTGCATGTGTTAACAGAAACAGTAGAAATTAAGACTGGATGTTGCCCTGCAAAGGGCATTGTGGCCAGAGAATGAGGCATTTTGATCCCCGACCTGTAGGCACTCGGATTCCTGCCTGTGAACCAAAATATTTCAGCACACACACGTAATTTTTTTCAGTTCAAAGCCACTTTTTAATTTTATTAACCTTAAACAAGCCACCCTTAGATCCAAACCAAGTTTTGCAAGCCTTAGCTAAATGCAGCTCCTGGCTGAAGATTCCCAGATTACCAGAGTAAAAGAGCGGATAATAAAACAAGCTTTTAAATCTTTTAACAGGATGATACACACAGAGCAAACTTCAACACAGCCTTCCTGGAAGGTGCACAGCATAAAACAGCCTCGAAGAGAATTCTGGTAGAAAATTGCACTTCTATTTCAGGCCTGCCCAAATAAATCAGGGGAATTTGTCCAGCACTCCTCACTTTGAACTCAGAGAAAGCTCTGACTCACTCCTTTGTAATACTTTCTAGTACAAGGAGGTTCACAGGGCCAACTTTTATCCCTAATCTCGTGGAACATTCCTCAGTACCTCCAACTCCAGGGCTTTGTGCACGCCAGATACAGAGTGCAGAACTCTGAACATGCAGAGACTGAATTACAGGCTAAATAACTGCAGTGCTGCTCCCACCTCACACTGGTTACACCCATCTGTACCTCTCCACAAACTGCACTCTGAAAAAAAAAAAAAAGTGTTCCAAAGCTTGCAATTCAAGTGATTTTTTTCTTTATCAAAACCAGTTTTATGCTCTTTGCGTCTGACAGTCAAGAAGGAAAAATGTTTCATCACTTTAGTATGACATGTATATTTGAGCCTGATAAAAACCTTACTGCTAAATCAGCCTTCTGGAGTTTCTTCAGCTTTGTTCTATAAAGAAGGAAGAATTATGGTGAAGGAATTTTATTACCCTTTTATATTGCAAATGTACTTTTTTTTTTTAACCCACAAGATTTAAAACCAGCTTTCAGAAGATAAAGCAGTACCATGAATTAAATCTCGAGATGCAGAAATGCAGTTTTCGAGTGCCAGTATCACAGCAATAAAAAACTTGATAATATTCAACTAGACATGAATTATGAAATTGTTATCCAAACCTTAGAACACTCTAAGCCCCTCTGAACTACACACAGGTAGGGCTGACTAGGGGGCACAGTGAAGAGAACCCAGCTTTTGGGAATTATGTTCAGTCTGGGATGAACCTGAAGACACAAAAAAACCCCCCAAAAATGTACTTAACACATGCTTTTAACACCCACCTGTAAATATTAAACCAAGTAGAGACAGCAGAAATCAAAGACTTTTGCAGTACAGGGGAATATTAAAAATTACATGTGAGGTCAGGGTGTTTCTGCTAAGAACCAGAGGCAAATGTTAAAGTCTGTGCATGAAAAATAAGAACAACTCTACTGTCTAGAAATACACATAATAAAGTGAGAAACACAGCAAAACACACAGGGTATGGAAAAGGAGAGGTACATGGTCATAACTCCCAATTCAAGTATCCATGTGCATTTTCTACAGTGAAAATCATTCTGAGGGAATGCCCTTTTCTACAGCCTCAGCAAAATGTATTCAGGAATATCTGTTGGCCCCCTGACCTCAGGTACTGACCATTCCAAAACATGTCAGCAGCACACATGAACAGCTGCTGCACCACCAGAACAAGGTCTCGCTGTATCCACGCTGCAAGTTTACAGTGATCTGCTCCCTTCTGGAAATGGCCATTGACAGTGACAGCAGGGAGGGCTTTGGACCTTCCTGTCCTTGCTCTGCAGAACACATAACCCCGAGCAGGAGGCAGGATTCACCTAGAACAGTATCCTAGAAACAGTCACACTTTATGTTCCTTAGTCTGAAATCAGCCATGTTTTCAGATAACTCACAAACACAACAGAATTTTTTTCTCCTACAAAACCACACCATGTACCTGTGAATGAAAGAAGCCCCAATTCACGGCAAGAGTTCACAAAATATTGCACCTCAGCTTCCTCTGAGCACTTGCAAATACACAGAAGAGATTTATTCTCTGCAGAGCACAAGAGGAGCAAGGCATAACCATTTCCAGCATTTGACTGCACAACAGGGATCTGGCACAGCAGCTCCAAGCTGTGTCAGTGTAGACTCCCTGTGTTTTCAGGTGAGAGTAAAACTCAGTTAGAAACAGCTCCACAAACACACACTGCAAAATTGAATAGTCCTTTTAATAACTAAGAGGGGGATTTTTTCCCCCCCAGTCAGTACCTGAGTTGGAAGATCTGAACTAAGCAATAAATTGTATCAATTGGTCTTTCCCATCACGCTGGACAACCCGGCATTAAGGGAAACAAATAATTAATGGAGTGAGAAAGATCTGCCTCACTGAAAGGACCAATAAAAACCACAAAGAGGATTTTTTCATGGAACAGCAGACCAGTAATAATTCCCCATTTATTAAGGTGAAAGAACTAGCAACTCAAATGAGGATGGCAGCTTTTCATCATCCCCTGTGACATTTATTCTTCTGCAGAGTTGGCCCTAGGAAGTCATTTTCCAGCCAGGGAATGTGAGCATTACCCAGTTCCATGTGGTAGACCCAGGATTCCTCTTCAATTCCTTCCCACCCCTGCTCCAGACGTTGTAAGGAACGGGAAGATGTTCAACAAGCAGCTGTGCATACCTGAAACTACTTCAATGATCCAACAGAAGGGTCAATACAGACACAGCAGAGTGCCAAGCTAAGAGGTCTACATTAAGGAAGGGTCTATGAACTCAATTTGCTCCTTTGTTTAGTCACCTTCGGTGTTCTAGCTGGGCTGTTTAACGTGCATCTGTTTTCTGAGAGAAGGGCCAGAAGGGGTGTGATTTCTACATCTGACCTGGCCCTGGTGCTGCTGCACCACACCCGGGGCTGGCACAGGTCCCACCTCCCCTCTCCAGCCTCCCCTCTCCTCCTCCTGTCCCTGCCAGCGGTTGGGAATGCTGCTGAGTGTCTGGGATCAGGGGGAAGCTGGAATGGTCCCTTGTTTTAGGAGGCAAATATTCCAGTGCCATCAGCCATCATCCCAGGAAAGTCAGCTTACATTGAATTCCCCACCACAACCCCATTGTTTGGCTTCTAAACAAAACAATCCTGGCTGTGAAACGGCGCTGCCTCATTGACAGCTCCAGCACTGACAGAGGAGGCAAAGCCATCTTTCTTCCCACTGCATTTCAGGAACACTTTCACACCCAGCGAGATTCAGATCAGCTTTAATCAAAGCAGGAGGAGCTGTGTATTTAAGCAAGAGGAACTTGTATTCAAATAATCATTACTGATGTCAAATAAAGTTGTGAGTCATTACCCTTTAAATGTCAGTGAGCAGAGTATCATTCACATCCATGGTCTAGCTGAGCACAGATGACAGAACCAGTGTTCACTCATCAACAAAGTCCTGTTTCTTTGTCAAGTAAAATATCCAGCAAACACTTCAGCATTTTCCGTGATTTGAAGTAACAGTAAAGGGGGAGGGAGGGACATTATCCAGGTGATACTGAAAAGAATAACAATTTTTAAATTTTTTTTTTAAACCATCAACTGGACTCACAAAAATTGCTGAAATGAAACACAACAAGACCTTCCCAGCAGCTACTGCCTCGCAGTTGCCTTTTTATGAACAGAAACTTCATTACACAGTGAAATCCTTAAATCAGTGTTGGACAGGCACCACATATGATCAGAACAAATGAATTCTCACTCATTTTCAAAAGAACCACTTCTTTTTGCTATCACAGCAGCAATCCAGACCCCAGACTGCATCTGCATATGGAGATTCATGCTGGAACAAGGCAGTCCTTCACGAACCCCGTCAATTTTTTTGGAAGGATACCGAACAAAAGATTGCCTGTACCTTGCAAAGTAAGAACAGTGCAACAAAATCTTTTATTGCTGACCAGGAAACAGTTTCACGTGGTTAAAACAAACACTTGTGCCCTTGTTCAAAAACAGTCAGATAATTCAGAAGTATCAGACACTAATCATGTCCATACAGTTGAAGCCTGCTTCCTTGTGTACAAACACAAGAAAAACAAAGCACGATTTTTTTCGGCCAAACTAAGCCTTTAAATTCACTGTGAGACTTATTCTGAGTGAAATGAAGGCAATGGTTCTGGGACAGTGAACGGCTTCCCAGGAAGTTGTCTTAGCAAGGAAGAAGGTTCTGCAGGGAGAGTAAGCCTGGACAGTGTTAAAAAACATACACAAGGAGGCAGGACTGATGAGCAGCTACATGTGACCTCAGATCCACAGCCTCACCACCGCAACGCCGCAAAATACAAAACCATTTGGTACGAAAAGTTGGAAATAAAACATCTTTTACACGATTGCAAGTGCATAGTTTACAAGTTCAGCCTTGTCTGCCTGCAGTCAGTTTTACAGCAGAGAGGGACAATGCTTTGACAGATGACAATACAGGATAAGCCCTTTATATCACGTTTCACTTTTATTGAACATCTCCTGCCAACGCAGATTACAACCCTGGTTCAGGTTGCACGCATCAACTTAAGCCATCAGAAATCAATACTTTGTGAATTCCAAATCCTAGTGGTGAGGGTTAGGTAGTGGTTGATTTCTGCAGTTAGAGAAGTTACAACAGTGGAAGTGTCACTCATAAAAGCAGTATGGTGCAAGAGGCTCTTTGGTGCCAAAAAACTCGTCAGTGATGCATTTATGAATGCTACTGAGTAGAAAGCAATCTAATTTACAACTCTTCCTCGCAGTGCTAGAGAAACATTAAAGGACTCTGGAGGCTCCCCTACCTTGAACATCTGCGAAGAAATATCACCAGTACAGAAAAGCTGTATAAAAATCAACGACAAAAGACTGAAATCAGAAGGTATATCCTATCTTTCATCCTGAAATACAGGTCAGGTACGGCCCAGCTCTACAGCAGGCATATTAAATAATCAGATTTAAAGTGATCTACACATTGAGACCTGAAAGATCACTGCCTTAATCTCACACCCAGTTATATGGGCATTTCTGTGGCATCATCTAAATCTTCAGTAAGAACACACTGCTCATATCCCAGCATGCATCCAGAGCACAGCCTATACGCCAAACACCTACAGTTATGGAGAAACCCCAGATTTCAAGTGAAGTCTAAGAAAGCCTAAAGTAACTCGCAGTTCCTAGCTCTGCTGGTTCATGATCCTGTACCAAAAACACAGACTCACTGGGGGGATTTTATCCAAACCACAAGGGACAGGCTGATCCTTGCACAGATATTCACATATGTACAAAAGGGATAGAAAAACAAGAGGCCCTGTCTGGAGTGACCAACACCAGGTACAGCTGAGAGGACAAACAAAGGGCCAGCTCTGGCCCCACCACACCACCTGCATCATTATTGCATCAGGTGCCAGAGCACGAGGCTCTCTGGGCACAGCTGAGCCCACTGACTGGACTGCCCTTCCACACATCTCGCTTTCCATGCCCCCTGAAAGTCAAGGAACTGCTTCCCACGGCAAGAGGAGAGGAGGAAAAGCCCCCTGGTGTGATCTGCTACAGCAATCAGCGTAATTATCTGCACAGCCTGGCTGGGTTCGACATCACCGCAAGTCTCCACTTCAAAACAGACTATTCTAACTCACAACAGAAAAGGTAACAATGTACAGCTCCTCAGACACTCACCTAGGACTATCATCTCTAAATTAATCCAACTTTGTCTCTTTCCAAATGCAAGTTTGCTCCACTGAACTGGCACTGCAAATCCTACTCCTGCTGTTGCAAGGGTGCTGCCTCGGCGTGCTGCAGAGCACAGCTGAGGCATTTGCACCCTCTAGCTGTCACGGGCAGGACACAGTACTTGTTTCTAACTTACATTCATTTGCAACTTCAAATTTATTGAGGCAGTTTATATCAATGTATTATCCATAAAATAATTCAGAAATAACCCCAAGTATACCACTGAAACATCTTCGTGATTTATCCATTTACACACTCAGTACACAAACAGCCCAGCCTCTGTACAGGTTCATCACATGCAAACCACCCATAGAGACAAAAACTTTAATTAAAAATAAGTCACAACTCAGTGTACTGTTTCAACTGCATCTCCGTTTACCAAATGGCACGTTGAATATTCTCTAAAATAAGATGTTCTTAACAATCTTGTTAAAAAATTCTTGGGCAAAATATTTCTAGACTTAAAAAACATCGAGATTTTTCAAAACACTCAAGATACTATACAACTTATAATAACCTTGAAAGAGGTTTACAAGGTTGTTAACCAAGGTATTTACATACCAAATAACGTAAAGCAAAAAATTTGTATTTCTAATGACAAAAAGGTGATGCATTAAAGATTTATGAAATTAAAATTAAGGCTCTTTGTTATAGTTCTTTATGTAACTTTACATATTAGCCAACTTTGGAAATGTCAGTCTTGCACATTCTTGTCAATCTACTGCATTTAAAGCAGTAGAGTATATTAAGTATTACTTTGAATAATTACATTGCTACTTCTAGGTTTGAGCATGCTTTCGAAACACTGCAATTATGAAATATTTACAAGGTGTAGCCTTCAAACTTTTATGTAAAAGCCCAAGTATGACTGTCTGATTCGAATACAAACAAACATACTTGTAAAAACGTTTTTCACTCCTCAAAATTAAAAGTAAATTACTACAGTTTTACCAAGCAAACCAGCTCTGAAAAGTTTTCCTCAGGTGCCTGAGCGTGAACAGTAAAAGTGATGTGAAATTTCTCAGGCAGCTCTGTTTCCATTTCAGACTGAACTGTTTGTTGTATCAGACTGTTCTCTTTTAAGCATGTAGAAAAATTAAATATTTCTTTAAAAAAATTATTCCAAGACCTACGTACACTTTTGAGCTATGCCCAGAGGTTTCTTGAAAACTATTCAATACTGTCTCTCCCAGGTTGTGGTGATTGGTCCACAGCTTATTTCAGGGGGTGTGTTCAGCTATAAGCAACTTGCTGTTTTCCAACGTCATTTCTCTTAAAAGCACAATGATATAAAACACTGAAGACAAAACAAAACGAAAAAAAAAAAAAAAAGGAATGGTAACCTAAGGATCAAATTCATTAGCCATTTCTCCTACTATATCAAAATTTGTAGTCAGAAGTGTCTTTATTGACTTTATTTTTAATTTTTGTACACAAAGAAAAACATGTTCATATCCATCATGAACAAAAACTTAAAAAGGCAGAACTAGAAGACATTTGTGTCCTTCACCAAAGCAAAGCTGTGCTAAAGGTTCCAAACATTTCCATTTTTAAAATAAATATTTTCTTTTTTTTTTTTTCATTGTCTACATTCCAGTCTTCAGAATGTCACTGGAAACTGCAGCCTATCATGAAATACACACTTTGAAACAGAGTCCCAGCTCACTGTGTTTGGTAACTTGCCATACCATATCCAGCTTGGTTAGGTATTACAGGAGCACCTTGTCCCTGGGCAGGCTGAGCACCAAATCCACCCATCCAGGCAGCAGATGGAGATTGGCTTAAAAAGAAACAGGATGGTTAAAAAAAAGGGGGGAAATTGTTCACTAGACAACATACCAAAAAAAAAAAAAAACCCCAAAACTTAAAAACATGTTTCCCACACGCTCTTTGTACCAAAATAGAGGAATTTCTTCTTCTCTTCAATGAGTAATTCAGGTTAAGCACTTGGAAATATTGTGAACTTTTTTAAGAACAAAGGATAAAAGCCTCACAAACCTTGGGCACTGGCTGCACAGGGCACCCACCTCCAAAGGCATGGACACTGGAAGTCAACATCAGTGATCCAGAAATGCAAAAAATACCCAGTGCCTCATCGGCATAAACACCAGTGACAGGTTTATCAGGGCTTAAGATGTTTAACTGGCACCAGGCAGTGAAGAACTGAGTCAACAAGTTATTTTAAAATAAGTATGTTAAAGCAGAAGTTCTAAGGAAGATTTCAGTCTTCAAGAGATCAGGGATTAAAAGCCCATTCAAATTCCGAAACTGCACCAGTCCAAGTGTCCGTATGCAGCCTCTTCTCTCCCTTCAGGCAAGTACCCAGGGTCCCTGGCTCACCCTCTGCAGCACTCACCAACTCCAGCCAGAATCCACAACGTGTTCAGGTATCAGACAAGACCACCCCAAACTCCACCCCACGCCCATGAAATGTGCCATCAGGTACAAGTCAGAGCCACTCACCCGCGTGTCTGTCCATGGAAATCACCACACATAAGCCTGAAGCCCACGTAAGGTCTGGCACCCCGCGCAACCCTCGGCCTGAGTGACCCCACACTCACCCAGTGCAGTCCTGGACTACTGCAGAGGGTGAAATAAGAGCACTTACTCTACTCCGAAGCCCTGCTGGTTCCAGGCCTGGCCGTACATGCCGTAGGACGGCACCTGCCAGCCGTTGGCCATGTACTGCCCGTACTGCTGGGGGTTGCCGTACACCTGGCTCCACTGCCCCCACTGGCTGTAATCCACCTGCGGAGACAACGACCACCCGCCTCAGCCTGGCACAGGCTCGGGCTGCCCGGCTGCTGCTGAGGGCAAAGCTCTGCCTGCATCAATCACGGGGCTAAAACGGGCAACAGTGAGATCAGGACAATCAGACATCGCTGCGACTTCATTAGATGCTCGTACTGAACAATGATTTGTGTGTGCTGGAAACACCAGAGGCTGTTTGGATGGACAGCCCCCTGGACTGCAGTTAGAGAAACAGCAAGAATCAGAATTACCTCAAAGTTCCTCCCTATCTTGAATCATATCCAGAAGACAGTAACAGATATTCCACCAAAATCACTAGCCCAATTTGATGAACAACTGGAACATAACTGAGACAGAACATGGAATTTCATAAGAACTCCATAAAATGCACCCATGACAACTCGGAAGGCATTTTAGTATATACATGATTGCTTTTGTAACACAAAGAAAAGGTTAAATTGAAGTTACCTGTTGGAAGTTTTTAGTCATATCAGGGGATTCTTTACCCCAATAACATTTAACAACATGTCCTTCAATTGTGGTTCCATTAACTGAAACAATTGCATGTGCTGCACTTTCGTGGGTTGAAAATCTAAAGAATGGAAAAACAAAATAATGTTATGCTTTACAGTAATTGCACCTTGCAGCTAAAATACAGTGACCCCATACATACAGGAGATCCAGAGAAAAGCTTCTGCTTTCACAAACATTCACCTTCTCAGGTAAAAAGATTGGTGGCCGCTTTTAAAAGTTTTAAGTTATTCTATGAACACATGGTGACAGCTTTTAATGTGCCAGGAGAAATTCAATCAAGTGAAAGTACAGAAGACGAAGCATTACTACAGGTCTGACTTTTCTCTGTCCATACCTGACAAATGAGTAACCTTTTTCTGGAAACACCCTTATTTCCATAATCTGTCCAAATGGGGAAAAAGTCTGTCTCATAAGTTGATCTACAACATAAAATGGTTTTGAATTAGTGACTGTCTCGGTGTCCAAGAAGCTTCAAGAATAAAAGAGCAATAAAACCATTCCTACCTGTCAGCCCAGAGGCAATTCCTCCACAGTACACAGTACAATTTTTTGGACTTGACTGATTTACTACATCTTCAAATCTCAACTGTTTTGTGTTATCTATAAAGAGAAAAGGCTGGTTTTCAGCAGTGGGACCACAGTGACCCAAGAGTCCCAGACACTCACCTTGTCCACCAGTGTGAATCTCACATTTAACAGAAACATTCAATATTTTATGACAGACCTGTAGTGCCACCACTATGCTGACACAATACACCAAAAAAACTATCCTTTAAGATCTGGAAGGTGAGCTAGATCTGTAATTTAAGTGACACGAGTTTGGCCTCTGTTTTGTCCCCCCCCGAGCAGTGACATGCAGGCAAACACAGCATCCCAGGAGGCTCTTACTTTCTTGTGTGCTTTTGGGGGCTGGTGGTTTCCGCGTGGCCCAGTTGGTTCTGATCTGGCGGCCTCCCAACCACTGGCCTCCCATGTGGACAATTGCGTTCTCTGCATCCTGGGGACACCAAAACACAGCTGACAGCACTGCCAAACAACAAGCTACTGCTAAGAAAGACTCGGCTGTCTGTTAACACTGGTGACAATGTCAGTGACAAGACTAAGAAGAGTATGAAATTCAGAACAATCACAGCAAGAAGCCAAAATTAACTAACATGAAGGCAACTGGTTACAGAGAAGGCCCTCAGAAGTCTCTGATAAAACCTTCCTCCCACCAACTTTCTACATACAGGTTAGAATCCAACTGCAATCACACACACACTACCTGTATATGCCATGTTACATCCACACACATATCTATACCATATATATGCATACTATACAAGCACCTCTATTAGAATATTCAAAGGCTGCCAAAAAAAAGTGCACAAGTCATAAAGATGCCAGAAGCAATTACTGAAATAAAGCAACTATCATTTACAATAAAAATTGCCAATTGACCATATTAAAAATACAGAAGTATATTCAACAGTAACAGATGAAAAGTCAAAGTACTTGAATCATCAAAATCCCACACTGGAAAATATTTTAAATACAACCCAGGTAAAATTCACCCCATGCAGGAGGTGTTTGCAAAGACCTTGCGTAAGATCTGAATGTGGTTTTTTTTTTTTCAGAATCTTATCATGCACTCAACAAAACAGAAAAATTCTAAGTTCTGGGAGGGCTGAATGGCAGTTACAAAGCAGCTGTAATGCTGACATACAAATGACTGAGTGTTTGAGTTTGCTTTTATTTATTATTTGCACACCCCCCCTGTCTCTGCTCTCTGGAGAGCAATTAAATTCTTATCTTGACCATGAACTAGAAAACTATCTGTTCATTCTGGAAGCAGAAACAGTGAGTAAGCAAGGGATAAGTCTGCTAACACCTGCACGAAGCCATTTTTTCCCCAATTGCTTTGAAAGAAGAGAGGCAGAGCAAACAGTAAATGTTTGGAAGATAAAACCAAATCACCAGACAATAAAACTCCCTATTTATTCAAGCATCCTGATCTCCCAAAACACAGTGAATAAGTTACAAACTGAGCAGGATAGGCAACCACCTCTACTGAATCTTGCTGCTAGTTCTGAGGATCAGAAAAAATGTGACAAAAATGGAACAGAGCTCGAGTCACAACTGATCCTGTTCAATGTAGGAGTTTAATTTGCTCTTAACTGGGGAATGCATTACGACCTCAGGCTGGAGTACCTGGAGTCTGGGAACATGCCCAGCTCCCCAAATGTAGCAGAATGACAATAAATTCTGAAAAACAGGTCTTAAACTGCGAGCTCAGGATGGCTGTACCAGAACCCTCCAGGTCCAGCTGCTGTGTGAAAGGAGAGCAAGCAGGACATAAAATCTGGAATTGCTTTTTAGTGCTACATTTAGAATTCACGCAGCAATTCTGTCGAATAAACACGAATTTTATATCGGAGCTTTCATGGCTCGGTCTGAAAAGTATCCACTAACTTTCATTCCATGACTGGTGTAACATTTGCCCTCCAGTCACACCAACTGAGCTCAACTGTAGGGTAAGAGAAGAAGGTACAAGGAAATAAAAGCTATTCCTTATCTATTTCAGCTGTAACAGAGTAAACAAAGCATAAGTGGAAAAATACACTAAACTGAGGTATCCAATTGCAGTATCTCATGGCATCTGCAAATCTGAAGGAAACAAATTCCAACTTTTTTGTTACAGAAGATGCAAAGAGATTGCTGGCAGGTAAGACTGCTGGCCACACAAACGGGCTTTGTATGCTAAAATCCTCAACTGGGGGTGCTTTTCCCACATGTAACATTTACAGAAAATGCTTCAGTTTCCCCACGCTGTCCTAAATGTCCACACAGCTCCCCTACATGTAAATTGATTTCCCACGGCGAAGTTAATAAATAGCAAATACATAAACAAGCAAATTAAAACAGGAAAGCAGGAACTGTTTCAGATCTCCACTGTGATTACTCACCAGTTTGTTATAAAAAGATACAAAACCATAGCCTTTTGACTTTCCAGTTGCCATATCTTTAACTACCCGTGCATCCCTGTGAAAAGAAGCACAGCTATATGAGGGCAATATTAATAACCTGCAAAATAAAAACTAAAAGGAACCACACACACTGTATTGTGAGCATAATTTTTCTCTTATAAATTCAGTTAGCCCTAAAACTACAGTCATTCCTGAACTCTCCCCTATTGCTTCTTTACCTGTTAGAAAAAAGCAGTAGGACAAAAAAAATAACATGTAATAAACATGCAACCTATGCACATAACCTATGCTGGCTATAACTAGAATGTTCAAATTTGAAGTATAAGAGAAACAAAGTTTCCTTTTCTAATATTCTATTGGCTAGGGTCCTCTAAGGTTTACTGTTCTATAAATTACTGTAACAATTCTATCTAATTTACCATGCATTTTCTAAATAGTTAAATGTCTTCTGCCTAGTGATACAAAATATATGAAATATTAAAAAAATCGAAAAAGAGGAAAAAATAGGAATTAAAAGGCATACATGGCCTGTTAACAGATTTCTTTATTTTTCTTGGTCAATTCTCTACCATCATTTTGGAGTTTGGGTAGCTGTAAATTTTGAAAAATTGACATTTTCAGAAATTTAAGAAAGGAGAATAAAACTAACAACAATGCTAAGCACACCAGTACGAAAACAACAAATTTACACAGAAATTTTAGTGAGTAAGTTAAAATGATTGGAAATATAGAACTGCACTGAATATAGAATGTTAAAATGTAAATACTAAAATATGTATATATAAATAATGTATAATAAGAATAAATAGAAATGAGAAAAAATCTACAACTGAGTTCCAGTGTGCACAGTTCCTTGCAGTTAGCCTTCAAGATCCTGTCCATTCTTATGAGCAATTCTGCAAAATAACCAGAATGCTATTACTTTTAATTGTGACTTGGACTTTAGAAAAACTGCAGGTCTCAGGTATAAATATAGATCGAGAAACAGAAACCTGAATTATTCTCTTTAAATCGATTTTTAAAACAGTACTACTTACCACATTAAAGAGACAAAAAGCAAAGTAAACAAAACAGCAGAGGTAAGAAATAAGATTTATGATTCATTTCAAAATATGCGTACAGAACAAGAGAAAAATAAGAATTTTGGTCTTAGAAATATATTCCTGTAAAGTAGTACAAAAACCTTTGCGTGCACCTTTTAAAGATTTTTATCAAGGTAAAGTGATAGAAGATTAACACTTTTTTTTTCTTTTTCTTTTTTTTTTTTTTTTTTTTTTTTAGCACTCCCAAGGATTCTTGTAATGTTCAATATGTTCAATTAGGACACCAGGTGATTCAGCATCACCTGAATTGTCCACGAGAAGTTTAAAGAAACATTCTCTTAACTGGCAGAAATGTGCACATATTGTAAAGCCACCGTTCTTTAAGATATTATGATCTTAATTCAGCCCATTGTTATCCAAAAAAAAGTAGATTTCATTCTCATAAGTATTTTCAAACATTCCCAAATTATTAACCAGCTGCTTCACAGAATTATATTCCAATTGCCCAGTTTTCCATACTGCCTATGAAATGCAGTATGAACCCACAACAAACACACCCAGGATACAACAGATACCAGTTTTCAAGTCACCACTCTGTACACCAAAAAGTCACACTTAGGAACAGTAATTAAATTGCAATCAAAAGGTGAAGGACATCAGCATATAAATTAGGTTAAAAGCACATTGCTTTCAGCAAACCAGAGCACAATCACATTACTGTATTTACAACCACGAGATACTGAGATACAACCCCTCTTCATAACCCACCCACCAGAGCAAAATTAACAGCAGAAAAATGATCTCATTAGGTAAGAGCTAACATTTCATTTTAGAACACAAATTCTCTCCTGTTTTCTGACTGATATTGGAAATGTTTATGATGATACTTACGATATTTTACCGAAAGGAGCAAATGCTGACTTGATGTCTTCTGTTGTTATTTCTGGACTTAAATCCCCAACGAACACATGGAAGTGATCTGCAAATAAATAATTTACTAATCAAATATTTAACTGCTATCCAAAGCTGCAGCTCCTGAGAAGGTGACGCTCTGCACGTGGGACTGGGAAGCAGGAACGCTCAGGATTCCACTGGATGAGCAGCAGCAATTTAATCTGTCCACTCCTGTTTCCCCAGTCGTAAAGCAGAAACAGAAGAATTAGTTTGCAAAACTCTATTAAACACAGGATGGGAAGGAGAGAAGTTCTGTTTCAATGCATTTATGGCAAGTCATTACCAGGCTGTGAAGCATTTGTGTACAAGTGATACTGTGGCATTACATTACTTACTGGATGTATCTTTTTTCTGGCTACTTGGTGTTGTTGCCCAGTTTACTTTGACCTCCTGAAAACAAGTATAAGATTTAGTATGAATTCACAAAATTATTACATCATTAAGTTCATTCAAGGGTGGGTTACAACTGTCAATGTTTACAAATCATCATTCAATACAAGGCACCATCGTAACTAGAACATCACAAACAAAATAAGACTTTTTTTTAAAGTCAGTATTTTAAAAACATTATTCTAACAGTACTAAAACTTGGTAAACATCTTCAACAGCTTCATTAATGCTTTCCCACAAATCTATATTGTTTAAATCTATGATTACAACGTAAGCAACTTACCTTTCCCAAAATTTTTCTCCCATTCATAGCAGCTAATGCAGCAGCTGCATCTCTGTGTTCATAAAATTCCACAAAGCAATAAGGGTCATTGCTTGTATGCTGCAAAACAGAAAATCCAACAGAAGAGTTGACCCTTCTGCTATCGGGTTGCTGAGAAGAAAATCCAGGAAAATATATTACTTATAGCTAGAAACTTTCAGAGTGATTTGCATCAGATTTATGAAACTCCTTTGACATTACACTTAAATGCAAGAATTTATTAAGGTGGGCTTTTTATTAAAGGTCTAGCAATTTCTGAAGATGAGTTTACTTTGAATGAGGACTGAAGTTTACGGAGCTAAAAATAATTCAGCTACCAGAAAAGTGATCTGCAGACTGGATGGAAGGGGGGAAAGAAAGGGGGAGAAGGGAGAGAAGAACAAAAATGGTCAGCTGCCTCAAGTACACCCTCAGAGCTTGAAAGGTTTGTTCCCCAGGTACATTCTCACCAATTTTCTCCTGTCCTACTTAAGGAGTCTTTCCTTTTATTTGACTGAAAATCACTGCCAGACAGAAACCCAGAAGTTGCACATTCTCAGGCTCAAGTGAAAAATGCCATACCCAGCAACTGGAAAATAATCTTTAAAAAAAACCAACTCAAAATAGTTTGACTGAGGGAAAAAGACACTAATCAACTGCCTGTTAACCCTGTTAAACCTCGGGTACAACCTGTTTCTGCAGGATGGCCTATCAAATCACCTTTAAAACAACAACTGACAGAGATCACTGAAGGCATTAATGGAGCAGAGTATAAAGTGCAAAGAACAGAAGAGTTTGCTGAAAAGTTGATCAAGTGGAAAGGGTGACTGGAATGCCAACATTAACACTGGATTCGATCTACCCCAAACATGTAAGGAATAGAAAAACTCACACCAAAACATCTCCGTTAACTGCTCTGCAGCTACACGGATCAAAAGTCGATAAACACTAATGCTAAACTAAACAAATTATTTCTGACATTCCTGTGGAACTGCTGACAACCCTGACACACTCACACTGAGGAAGAGATTCTAACCCTTCCCCTAAAAGTGGATTGTACACCTTCACACATAGTTCTGCCTACAAGGCAAGCTAGGAAGATGCAACAGTTGAACAGATCACAAGCCCTTTATGCACCTCAAATGATCAAGCAGTCTGAAGTCAACCTCCTAAACACTGTCAGTGCCTGATGCACAACGAACAGCTGGGAGAAAATGTACCTGAGATCATAAAAAAAGAGTTTCAGTCACCAAGTGCTCTACAAGGAATCTCACCTCAGAGACTGACCAGAAAACCAGAAAGTCTTAATTCACCCCTCTCCCCACAGCACTTTGGGAAATCCATTTAAGCCTCCTTAGCAAATTTACTGCTGTTTATGCTTCAACTGAAGGGCAACTTTGCTTTTAGGTTGCAGGAAGGTTTTTAGCACTGAGAACCTGTCTGCAGACACTCAGATCTTCTGGTGTTCAAACTACCTGCAAATGCTGCCCCATCACCCCCTGAGTACTATATCCCCAAAACAAACACCTGGAATCTCTAAACACTTGACTTGGTCATGCTGCGTTTCTGTGAATGAAAAAGAATGAGTTGATACACCTGGCTAAAAACTGAAAAGGAAACCAAACTGATCTCCCAGCTCTCCAACAGCCTGAGGCTGGAGCAGCAGCCCCTTATTTCTGTAGAGCATGACAATCAAAACTGTGTCTTCAGAGAAAAACAACTGTGCTCTGGCAGCCTTCTGTCACCTTCCCAATAAACTTACAGTGAGTGTGGCAGAGCTCAGTGTCACATGGGAAATTCTCAGCCCAGACAAAGATGAGAGTGAATAAAGAGGCAGTAAGTGGATAATAAGGAGCTAAAAACAAACAAACTCTGTGTGTCACAGTGAAAGGAGAACAAGTCCACAGAGGAGTTTCCAGCAGCATTCCTAAAAAAACTCTAGACATGAGACTTGCCTTCTAACGGTGTCATTAATAATGTTAACAAAAAACTACCACGACTGTCCTCGGGAAATCTGTAATTGCAAGTTAGTAGGAAGCATAAGAAGCAGTAAAAGTGGGAAGAGTGCACAGAAAACAGGGCTGAAGGACCAAAGACTGAACCTAGCAGAGGTTCTGATCAGTCCCTGCCTGCTCTGAGTTTATCAGTTATAAATGCAGGAGGAAGCAAAAATATCAGGGAGCCAGAAGTTCTCTGGGATGTGTCAACAAGCTCACAGAAGTGGTCACCGAGCCCTTGCAAACACCAGAGCATTTGCAAGGGAGAGAAGGAAGTGTTAATACTTACCAGCACTTTGTACAAAAGAACTTATCTGGAATTCTATGGAAATTTGGTCACTTTGTTTCAAGAAAAAATTAATTTAAGAACAGACAGGTGCAGACAAGAGCTATTTTTAATGGCACAGAGGAGGCTCAGGAAGAGCCAAAGTTGTTTTGAAGGATGTTTTACTTTTCATCCATAGCAAAGTCGCATTTATTCAAGAAGAATTACTGAGGGTCATGTTCAAATAAAGGGAGAAATGTACAAAATAACCAAAATAACACTTGATGCAATAAGGTTTCTGATCATCAGGACAATATGGTTGTGAAAAGAGGTGGTAACAATCTTTTAGATAAAGTGGAATCTCATCCCCAGGTATGTCAGGGCTGCAGGAACAGCACGGGACTGCACAACAGGTTCCTCCTGCAAAGTCATCCCCAGAGCCCAGCACAACCAACCTACACAAACCCATCAGCAGTCAGGTCAGAAGAAGCCCTCAAATCACTCCATTTATTCTGGACAACTTAGGATAAAGTGACATTACATTTGCTACCCCCCTAGATGTGGAAGGCCTTACCTCTGTTATCATTTTACAGCTTTTGCATGGTCCAATCTGGCTGAATAACTGAAGTATGAGAACTTCAGTCACATCTCTGGAGAGGTTTCCTACATAGCTACACAAGGAAACAGAACAAACAAACAAAAAAAAAAAATCAGTATTTTAAACCAGAAATTGTCACTTTTTAAAATGTAATTACAATTTTAAAATCTTAAATGGCAATGAAAAAATCTCCCTATAAACATCCCAGACATCTTAAAGACAGTATTTACAAGTTATTTCCTATAGTTTTAACACAACATTCATATAGTTTCTAAATTCTAAAGTTGGTCACACAACTGAGAACACGAAGTTTGATTCAGACAGACTACTGGACACCAATATCTAGTGCCAGTCATTTCCTTGGCAAAGAAGTGTCAAAAGCACGAAGAACATTGCTCAAGAAACTTGGGCAGAACAAGCAACCAGCTGGGCAAAGGTATTTTAAGTTTCACTTCCCACTGAACATCTAATCCAGAGCACTTCTGAATTTGGGGATGAACCCACACCCAACTGCCAGGAGCTCAGGAGCAGCTATTGGACAAACTGTGCTGCCTTGCAAGCAACCAACTTTTCTGTTTTCCTGAACATTTGGAAAACCAGCCCACTCACCAAACAGACACGGCAATTTATGCAGCATTCTGCCACAGGAATGCTCTGTACAGCATCATCTGAACAGCTCCCACCTCTGTTATCCTCCCAGCATTATTTCAATATCACACACACTTCTGGAGTTTTTATATTTGTAAATCTTGAGAAATAATGCCAAGTTTTAAAATTACTGATCAAGTTCAGATAAGACTCCCAGATTTCCCAGGTCAAAGATGGCTGAGAAAGTCATGAATGCAAAATCAAATCCTTTTTTAAAATGTGACTAATTTGTAATCCAATTGTAATCAGAGCGGCCAGTTAAGAGAAAGGCTTGTCCCAGTAGCAGATGTCAGAAGCCATCAGCAGAGGGGCATTCATCATCCTCACAAATAAGCCTGTCAAGGCATAGAGCACTCAAATGCAACCAGTAAGGTGAGCAGACCCTTTTGTGATTTAGCTGTTGAAGAACACACACTTTACTCCCTTTACTCTCATCTGTTAGACAATGCCATACAGCAGTAACCTGAAGTCGGTGTGAGCTGTGAAGGCATTCAGTGTGAGCAGCGTTCCTCAGTGTGCACACACCATGTTCTGTGTAAACAGGGTGCGCTGCCACTGCTGCAACAGCCACCTCCAACATTTCTGACACGGGTGACAACTGGACTTTCACCCCGCTCCAGAATTCCAGAGGACACTGTTTGTTTTCATCTGAGCCCACACAGCGTTATCATCACACGTGTGTTTATGCTGCTCTTCTTTAAACACCACAAACAGTTGTGCAGTGGCTCAGTCAGGACTTCAGTGCTACACAAGATCCAGAGTTCCTTACAAATATCACATCACCTGATAATAACAGCCACTAAAACCTTTCACATACCCAGCACTTCCTTACTAAATACATGAGAGTTAACACAAGTCAGTAATAGAAGCATTTCAGTACACGAGGTAAGAACTGCAAAGTTCTGTGAGACCCCTTACAGGACAAACTGTCCACCCCACTGACTCCTCAGTTCTCTATTCTGAAAATTTAGCAGTTAAACATTTATCCCTAGCTTCTTTCTGAAATATTAACTAAATTTCTGTTAATCATTCACCAAGATTGAATTGTAAATCACTAATAACTTTAAGTGGAAATATTAAGCTTTGCAGATACCACAAAAATCACATGGAAAATATAATTACCAGTGGGAATTCCCATATAAAGGGTCAGCAGTGCTGTGAACTTATTACTTGTTTCCTTTGTACACTGTAGAACAGTATTAATTAATCCCATGCTTTCACAGCACACTGAAACAAGCACCTGGACACTGGCACTGACATGGAATTAAATACAGTGAAGTCCTATTAACATTATTTCTACTGTGAAATCAGACACAGTACATAAAACTAATACTACCAAAAACCCAAATATCGTCCTCTTCTGCTTAATAGTACTCTGGAAACATACGAAGTCTAAAAAGCAACCTGAAGAATTCTTGGTCTGACCAAAAAAATCCAGAATAAAAGGGCCAGGAAAAGCCATTCCTCAGCAATCTACTCAATCCAGGGTAGATAAATGACACTAACTGCTAGAAGAGGTTACCAGCTGGTTTTCCAATACCACTCTGTTCAGCAGGAGAGCTGTGAGTGAGACTGTTGCATCATAAACCTTAGCTATGCAACAGGCTGCCTCTTCCTAAAAACCAGCAGGGGAAATCTGGACCACTTGCCTGCTGCATTCAGAAATCCTACCAGTGCTGGAGTTCTCCAAGTGCAAGGATAAATCCTGCCTGGGTGTTTAATATCCCACAGGCAGAGGCGTTCCCACCTTCCACATGATGCTAACACTCCAAACCTTGAGGAAGACACGCTGAGAGCAGTGCACACCAAAGTTCATGTCACAGGGACAGCACTCAGAGAGACCCAAAGCTCTCAAAATGTAAAATACGGGAATACAAACCTCTACAAATCTGAAACAGTACACTGAAAAGTAAGACCTGATGGTTACCTCCATGTCTTTAAGCAGGTTGCAGTAACATCCCCTCCCTCAGTACAGTCAGAGATGACTTTAAAATAAACCACGTTCAAGCAAACACCTTCAGTGTAAATGCTGGAATATTACAGAACTGGAGGAAAATGTATATTCAAGACGTGAGGAACAGACAGCTCACCTTTCTGGAAACACAACCCCTGGCTGGGCTGATGCTATCACCTCCCCCCACAGCCAGCCCGCTGCTGCACCAGCTTTCCCTTTCCTAACTGTGTCCTGCTGCATGAAATCAAAATTATCAGAACCACACCCGAAAAAAACACACAACTCTCAACATGCTGTATGTTCTTTCAGTATTTCTGGACTGATACAGTCTAGAGGATATACTGTGCAAGCTTAAAAAAATGATCAAACCCACCAAAGAAGCACTTACTATAAACTTTTACAGGCTGTTGTGGTGGTGAATGCGACAGGGCAGCAAAAGTTGTGCCCTTTGCTGACAGGCAATGGTGTTTGCTCCCTTCTGCAAGTCTGAGGCACTTAAATACCAATTAAGAAGCAGATACACAAAGCAAACCCAACCCACAGATAGACATTCTGATGCAAATTTCAATATATTACTCTAGAATAACAAACTACTTGCAATTCAGAGACAGGCAGGGAAGGAAGGGACATTTACAGCAACTATTTCAGGTCCACAAAACTCCCCTACACACTTTTTTTTGAGGAAACGCAGTAAATGTGATTTCACTGTCACACAGACAACGTGCAAGGAATGGCAGCTCCCATATTCAAAAGAAGGAACCACGGTAAGCAATGAGGGCAGTGATGGAGAGCAGCATCTCTGCCTGGTGCTGCTGAGCTACTGGAAAGAAAATATTGCCATGAAAAATCCACTCTGTGGCCTCCACTGGCAGCCAACACTCCTGTACAGGATTGCTGAACTGGCAGAAGGGGGAGAGAAGTGAATCCCAGGGAAGTCTGATTTCTGCACCCCATCCACACTCCAGGACACTTGGAACACTCCCTGGCAAGGCTAATGAGGTAGGTAACAACTTGTAGGTATTCAGTGACTGCTTGTGAAGTCACTGAATACCTACAAACCATACAAAACATTCCTAAAACCATCAACACGAGGAACATTCGAATTTGGAACTTTTCTTCTGGTTATCAGTGAGAGCTGATAACAGCAGCAGCACATCAGGTTTCCAGCAGTTTAGTTTCCACTTGAAAGCAGAAGCAGGACTTGGATAGAGGCTGTGAGATCTGACAGCACTCAGAACACAGAGCTTTCAAGTGTTCTATTAAAAAAAAAAAAGTAAAAATCTGAAGCCCACAGCTCATTTTAGGACCAGCTAAAAAATTACATGTGACAGATCCTACAAAAAGGCCCTCCTTTCTGGCAGAAAATATGGAAGGTTATTTTTCACATTTCTATAAAGGCCTACTGGTTATGAAATGTGAGAAATAAAAATGCACATGGCGTCTATTTTCCATATTAAGGTTGGGAAAATATTCTGAATTCTTAGAGGTTCATGACAGACCTCTCATGATTGGAAACAACACAACTACTGCGAAGGGAAACAATCCTTATTCCTGAGATATTCAAGATGGGCACAAATGTGAGAAGGTTTTTCTTTCTATGATTAAAAACCATTGCTTGCAACCGTTAAAAAAGAAAATTCCTTCCTAACTTACAAGGTTGGTTTTTCACCCCTGAAGGAATAAATGCAAATCCAAAGACATTCATAATGCATTCCTTTAACTATCAATCAAGTGCTTTTGCACATGGTCAAACAGCTACTGAGACAACTCGTTCTTCACTTCCCTTCCCCCCCAAAATAAAAAAACAAACAAAGAAAACTTAGAAGTTCAACTCACAGTATTTCCAGTCGGTTTTATTTATGAAATCACAACTGCTCTACACGCAAAGCGTTACCCAGGATAATAATCTTTAAAGTACGACTTGCAAGTCTAAATTTAAAGATATTTTAAATAAAAGTAGGGACAAGAGGGTGATGTAAGAAATGCCACAGTGAAATTTTTGTCTTCCGTGCAAGAAACTTTCAGGTAATTGCAGGAAAGCAACCCTATGTGACTGTGGTTACTGCAGAACCACCAGGAAATTAATGTATATGCTGTTTATTAGTTTGACAAATTTAACAGTCACATGTGCAGTAAAACATTTTGGGCAGCTGCAGATCTCAGTACAAATGTGCTTTTCCCTTGCTGGTGACAAGTGGGCTAAGGCATCCATCCCTGATGGATGTGTTCAGTGAGCAGAACCCACTCCCAGCGTGGCACCAAAACTTGTCAGCAGTAACAGAACATTTTAAAACTTAGCGGAGATCTAGCACTCATTAAAATAAAATAAAAGAGCCAATCATGAAGAAAAGAACCTTGAAAATAAAACTGAGTAAAACGCTCCGTGACTTTGCCCTTTTCCCTCCTACAGCAACACTCAAACCTCTCTCTGTCCACTATTAG